GTATGTATGTTGAAGGAGGGGTGGAAAATGATAGGAAGTGGCATTTTCCTTTTTTAGGGCTGCACATACTAGCTTGATAGCTGAGTGATTTCTCTGTTCTTACTTTTTGCAAAAAAGTAGGGGGCAATGAGAATAACAACTACCTAAGGGCTTATGGTTTAATTGTGGCTTGAAGTCTGTGAAATCCTGCTTGGAAGGTTTGGTGACCGCTTCCACTCACTCTCTTCAGCTTCCAACGGTCCACAAACCCTAGAAGTCTAAGGCTGAATTTTAGTAGTTTCAGAAGTTACTCGGGAAAATGGTATAGGTAGGTGTAAGCGAATGACAGCTGGCAAGCTCAAGAGCACGAATGCAAATGGTACACACGTCTTCCGGTTCTCTAAGGATGCACCATAGACAGCGCATTTCGTTTTGTAGACCATCCGTGATAGAAACCCAAACTCTCCTATTTACCAGTTTTATTTCAGGAAGCCATTACAATGCACAAAAGCCATTCAAGTATCACTCTCATTTTGCCTGTTGTTATTAAACCCAACTGCTTGGATACGTCTGAAAAGGGGAGACAGAATTTTTTTGGTGGGGGAAGGTTGGTTGGTTGGTTATTTAGTAAATTAGTTATCGGAGGTACTGGGGATTGAACCTAAGCATGCACTCTACCACTGAACTATATACCCTCCCCACCAAACCTTTAAAATTCTATGTTTCTGTTTTCCTTTCATTTGAGGACTTAGAGGAGACAATAGCATGTCAGAGCTCTCCTTCTTCGGGGACAGTTCAAACGTGGATCGCAAGTTGTAAGTCTACGGTGTGCACATTTGCATCTCCTAGTAATTCTGTACAACTGCGGCATCATGTGCCTGCATATTCTGGCCTGGCTTACAGCCTGCCTGAATTGGATCCACATGACAAACTGCAAAATATCCTCACATAACATCTGTTTCTACTGTGATGCTGCTTCAAGCAATTGTCATTTCTTTGTCTTGCTAAGTAATTAATTCAAAATTATACGAGACCCCCAAGCCCTGTCAAGCCCTCCCTTATAAATTCCCTCACATCCATCCCTTCTTTCCTACTGCTCCACCCACACTGACAACTGTCCCGCTAGACCACTGCTACAGTCTCCTAGGACTGTCTACGTCTAGCATCTCCCATGGCCACAGTGTTGCCAAAACAACGTTCCTAATTCACCTCCATGCATACCACATTCCTTCCCTGAAACAAAGCCAAACACATATCAACCCTTCAATGGCTCCCAGTCTGCCAAATAAAAAACCCAAAGAGTTCAGCCTCACACTTGAGACCTTCCATAATCTGGCTGCAGTCTAGCTTTCCCATTGGGACTGGTCTATTCTCTTCCACTCTGAAAAACCAGCCTGTTCACTAGCGCTGTTTCCCCAGTGCACACGTGCACACATGCCCCTTCCCTTTCTATTTCCAGGGCTGGGCTCATACTGTTCACCTGCCTGAATGCCCTCACCACTCCCCTTGCCTTGGCTGATTTAGGTACTATGTATGCTTCAAAGCCAAATTCACCATCTTCTCTTCATTGTCTACCAAAGGCAAAAATGGTCTCCTTGGCCTCTGTAAAACTAGTGAGTTACAAATCACTCGCTGGGTATTTCTTTGATGCCTCACACTGTTGGCAGTGTGGTCTCTGCCCGTTTCACTAGACTGTAGCAGTGGGTACAAGCCAGGCCACCCAGCGACCTGCTGCTATTGCTTCCTCCTCTGGTTCAGCGCGATGTGCACAGCAGACAATTCATATATACTTGACTGAATAACTGGTTGAAGATATGCATTCACTCATTCAACAATTATTTATTAAAGACCCAATATGTGCTAGGGACTGTTACAGGCACTAGAAAAATGTAGATGAACCACACAGATAAAAACTTCTGCCTTCTCCTCCTAGTGGAGGAGAAACAGATTTTTTTTAAAGTTAGCTATATAAAATAATAGAAGGTGTAAGTGCTATGGAGAAAAATAAAGGAGGGAAGGAAAACAAGGAGTGTAAGGTAGGGGTGGAAAGTGATCATTAAACAGAATGAACACGAAGGCCTCTCTGAGAAAGCGACATTTGGGCACAGACACGAATGAGGTAATGGAGCGAGTCAGGCAGGTATCTGGAAGAAGAACATTCCAGGCAGAGGAACAGCAAGTACTAAAACCCTGAGGCAGAAACATGCCAGGATGGTCAGGGAAGAACAAGGAGGCTCATGTGGGGTGAGTGAGGAGGAAGGTGGGAGGAGGATGGGAAAGAAGCACAGGAGCTAGGCTTGAGGGAGCCCTGGGAGCCAGGAAGGGGCACTGACGATGAGCCGGAGTGACACATCTGACTGGCGTTCGAAAGGATCAATCTAGATGTTCACTGAGACCAGGCAGAAGGATAGAGGCAGGAAGACCAGTAAGGAGGTAATATACGAACTAGGTGAGAGATGATGGGGGTGTGACCAGAATGGTGGCAGGTGGTAAGCAGCTATCTGGTTCTGGATATATTTTGAAGGCAGATGTAGGGTTTGCTGACGGAGTCAATGTGGGGTATGAGGCAAAGAGGAATCAAGGATGACTCCAAGGCCAGATGGGCCGCCACTTACAGGGATGAGGATGACCTTGGGGGCAAAAGCTCTTAGGAGGGGGAGAACAGTGTGTCAGATACTAGAACGTTAAGTTTGAATAACAAATGGGGAAAGTGAGGAAGCAGTGAGCTGCAGTAGTCTAGAGTTCAGGGGAGCAGACAGGACTGAAAATAAACTCTTGGGAGTTGTCAGCATGTAGCTAGTACTTGAAGCTAGGGGACTAGATGAAGTCAAGGGAGTAAGTGTAGACAGAGTTCAAGGCCAAGGAATAACCCCTGGGAACCAGTAAAAAGACTGAGAAGAAGCAGCCAGTGAGGCACAAGGAAAACGTTAAGGCTGGACATTAAGAAGAGACTGTGTTCTGGAGAAAACTACTCACATCTGTGAGACAGCCGGCGCTGGTTTAACTTAGACCACGGAGACTGACCAAGGGAATTCATTTTCCCCACTCCTAGGGCTGCGGTGGTTGGGTGAACTTTAAGCAGAGGCTACTAAGATAAGCAAGGATATGATACAGCTTTCCATAAAAGTATAATTTTAATAATAGAAAACTGAGTTCTATTTTCTACCAAAAAAGTCTAGTGATAATCAAGTTAGTACAGGGCTTCTCAGCCTTGACACTATCAACATTTTAGCCCAGATAATTCTTTACGGTGCAGGGCTGTGCTGTGCATCATGAGATGTTTAGCAGCATCCCTGGTCTCCACCCATTAGATGTCGGCAGTACACCCCTTCACTTCCCCACCATTGCTAAACGACACAGGGACAAAATTGTCCCCAGTTGAGGACCCATGAGTTAGAGCAAGCTGTCAACAAAAACCAATTCTAAGTCTATGTTAAGCATCCTTGCTGCCAAATGTAACTGTTAGCGTCTGCTGATTTTCCGTACTCCCACCTGCCCTCCTCTCTTCTCCAGGCGTCTCACCAGCCAGCTGATTTGGAAGGTTCTCATTGTATTTACTACATAGAGTGAGGAAATTAAGCAACTAGCTCCATCTGTCATAAAAAAAGTACTTCTGATTTTCTTTCAATGTAAAAATATGCCCCAAGACTACCAGTTCAAAAACGACCATTTCTGTACACCCTTGTTCACCACGGCACTTCTCACTTCTCACCCAGTGTCCAGCCACAAATGGATAAACACACTGGTATATGCACACACTGGAATATTACTCAGACTTAAAAGAAAGAAAATTCTGACATATACAACATGGATGAACCTGTGGACATTACACGAAGTGAAATATGTCAGTCACAAAAGGACAAGTAGTGGATGATTCCACCCACAGGAGGTACTTAGAGTAGCCAAATTCAGAGGCAGAAAGCAGAGTGGTTGTCGGGGACTAGACTTGGGGGTGGAGAACAGGGAGCTGTTGTTTAATGGGCACAGGGTTTCAGTTTTGCAGGATGCAAAAAGCTGTTGAGATGCGGGTGGCAATGGCTACACAACAAAGTGAAGGTAATTAACACTACTGAACTACACAGTGAGAAATGGCTAGGATGAAAAATTTTATGTTAAGTGATTTTCACCACATTAAAAAAACAGAGTGCAGATTCTGGAGTCAGACTGTCTGGGTTCAAATACCCGTAAAGTGCTCAATGAGGTACCTGGCTCATAGTAAGTGCTCAGTAAACATTAGTGGCTGATTATAAATCAGTATTATACATAGAGTTACACCAAGTCAGGGTGTATGTTTGTCAGGAGCATGGTTGACAGTTATGTGTGACTTTGGTGATTAGGAAAGCAGTTATAGAGAAAGTTTGGTTTAAAAAAATGACCATTTCTGGGAATAAAATCACTTTACTAACTGCATATCATTAAATACAAAGTAAGCTGATCTCTTTCCCCTCAAAATTAGGTCCACTCCTGTGGATTTAGCTTGTTACTTACTTATTTTAAAGATGCAGTTTCCTTTTGTATTATCTTTTCAAACCTTTAAAAATTTTTTAAATATTTAAAAATATTTGTGCATATGTAAATACAGACTTTTTTCCCTTAAAATGATCAACTACCATTCTATATATTACCCTGTTTATACAGAAGTTCTTCTTTCCGTATTGACTTCAGCAATTGCTTGCAGAGCCCCATACTGTCTGTAATTTTGACTTTCATTCACTTCCTTCCTAGCACATCTACTCAAACTGGGACCTAGTTTTAATAGCTGTATTTGCGTTAAGGACATTTAATCGAAATAACAAAATGAAATAGAAAAATGACTAACAGAAGCACAAAAGAAAGCGACTAAGAGAAAACCAGCCTGTCTACTCTCAGTGACAAGCAAGAAATTATCAGAGACGAGGGTCTCAGCTCGGAGATGAGCTCACCAGTCATGAGGACAGAAAATGGGTATGCATTCAGTAAGAATCGAAATCCCAGAAAAACAGCAATGCTGAGAGCAGATGGGGCTTTGTGAATTGTCCAACCTGCATAGGATTGATCTTCACTGAGCGTTCGAAGCACTCCACGCACTCTTTAAACTCCTTGCTTCGCAGATGGAGGAGGCCTTTGGAGCGCTGGGCGCGGGCACTGCGGTGCTGAGACAACTCCCAGGCCCGGTCATAGTAAGAGTGGTCTCGAAGGACGTCTCCCAGCAGGCAGTACAGACTTGGCGTTTCTTTTTTCTCCAGCTCTTTCCAAAGGATTTCTTCTGCCTAGAAACAACAACAGAAATAACTAAACTGCTGAATAGTGACGAACGGCTACTCTGTAGCACACAGACGTCTTCTATCCCACATGATCCAAAATTTTATTTTCAAAGTTTGAGATGCCCTCCTCCTTTCATGCATCGAGGACACAGGCTGAAAAAGAGAGGAACAACAGAAGATAAATACGGTACAGGTAACAGAGGAACAAGAAGTAAGAGGCTTTGCTGGCCTCTGGAATCTTCAAGGAGAGGCACTGAGGAGAAGCTGACTGCATGATACCTGCGGGACTCCGCTCCCCGTTTCCCTGCGTCCCACTCCAGTTGTCACGACTGGGACCATTTGTTAGAGCAAACATCTAATTCATCTCCACCCAGTGGTAATGAAAAGTATGTCTTCCCTTTCTAAAAATGGGATGCTTGGGGAGTCTATGACTGCTGAAAAATTTATAAAAGGAAGAGGATACAATTTACTAGATATTGCTAAACCCCTACCTCTTATCTGAACTAATTTCACCTCACAGATAAAACCTGCCAGCATGAGACCTATCTGCCTCCAGACAGTCCATTCACTTTGGAAGTTAAAGCCCATCCTCAACACACGGCTTGGGTATTCTTCTCATGTATCTACAATTTGGATTCACCTTGTCACCCAAGCTAATTCTGTACTTGTCACAAGTACTACCCCACTTCTCCCGACCCATGTCCACTCCCCCAACCCCAACTTCAGATCAACTTCAACAGAGAACAAGCAGCATGGTGTTCCTTACACACATACATCTTCACATAACAGCAGTGGGGTCACCAAAGATGCCGAGAAAGTCACGGCCACAGTTGATGTCGACATCCAGGAAGCGATCCTTCGATAGCTAAGATGTTCAGACCTAGACTCCGTAACTTATGTAGCTCACAATCTTAAAGTCTGTATATTTGATTTTCTTTAGACTTGACATATAATTATAATTTTTGAGAAATCTTTTAAAGGCTGTGCTTCTAAAAAGTGTCTTCAGATGCTGGCTCATTTGCATTTCTGATATGGTATGTGTTATGTAGGTCTTTTAGGCCTAGTCTGAAAATGAAACCAGGATTTATAAAAAGGATTCTAAGGGAAAACAGTTCCAAGTCCTAAATAGCCAAAATAAACATGAATTTTTCAAATATAACCTATGTAATTCCTTTATTCACAGAAAATACAATAGCCATTAATGTATCTCATATAATTCTATATTCAATATATTATTTTTCAATAAAGATATTTCAATATATTTTATACTAAATGTATTTATTTTTACATATATATGTATATATATTCAATCAAATTGTGTGTAACAAACTGTAGCCACAGGAGGATTTTTGCTGAAATGACCTTACAGTTTAGTTGAAGACATTCTCTTGTCAGCACAGCACTGAAACTTGGTATCCACCTTCTCCCATTTCTGCTTTAAACTGCTAGAGTGGATTCTGTGGTCTGCAATCAAATAATGACCATTACAGCAACTGGGCACAGAAGTGACTGCAGGCAGTACACTCCTGCAAAAAAATGAAAATTTGTGATTGGTTATCTCATCTGGTTGGATCTGAAGACAATGAGGATACAATGATCACAAGAGGGTTTAACACCAGTAGTCCATGGTATCCAGTGATAAAAGAAGCTCTTCAATGACGACCTGCAGTACCTTGGAATGAAGCACCTATCTAACGTAAGGCTTTTGTGCTCTGAGTGACAGGACACTGCGAGAGAACACAAGACTGTGAGGTAGGTCAGCTGCTTTTAGTTCACTAGGCAGCACACGTACGTACACACACCTACACCCACACACACCCACAAGACACTTAGTGCTTTAAATCCTCGAGGTGAGAGAACTAGGGAATTTCTGTAAGTGTCTAAAACATTTCCTTTTTCCTTGTAGCTGCAAAGCTGGTGCAGCCAAAAATCAGATACAGAGACCGCCCTTGCAGGACTGCTGAATTACGATATAGGATAAATTCAGTTTTACTAGTTCTGTGTGAAAGTTAGGGCATTTGATTGTGTTAATCAAACATGCTTTAGTCATTCATTTTATTTCCTCTATTGCCTTTCAGCTATATACTGTTTTAGTAAATTTTCATGATTGCTCTAGGGCTGTGCATCTTCAATTTCTCTAAGTTCATTCAGAGTTAACATTGCTATCACCTCACGCTTCTCACGTCGTAAGTGGCCTTCCCAAATATCTGTTCCACAGAAACAAAGAGCGATAAACAAATTATTGCTGTTGTTTTAAGCCATCAAGTTTTGATGCGGTTTGTTACATACCAGTAACAACCACAATGGTTGTTTAAAGCAAGAGGATTGCTGTAGTACCAGTTACTTCATGATGGCCCAGAGAAGAGGGCATTGATTATAAAAGAGCAAAACTCAAGAATTTAACACTTGGATGATTCAGACAACAGAAAGTCCCAAAACTTTACTGAGTTTCCTATGTCAGTAGAGACTAGTGCCACCTTGCTTAAGGACACAGTGAAGACTGCATCTCAGTGCAAAAAAATTCCACTTCTCATACTTGACCCTTCCACCCTTCACTGCCTCTAGTGATATAAATAGATTTTACACACATAAAGAACTGCAAGATATTGCTGCTTTCTAGAGACCTTGGGACCATGTGTTAAAAGAGATTCTAAGGCCATAGACAAAGAGGACCATAATTTTAAATCAGCTGAATTCAGATACTTATCAGAAAATTTTGATTCACAGTACTAACTCAAGCAGCTGGGGATGGTTTTAAACTATCTGCTTAACTGTTTGACTAAAACCTGGACTCAAACATGGCCAAAACTGAAGTTGAGATGCTAGAAATTTCTTGGTGTTAACGTGGAAGAAAGAATGCAACAACTTTGAAGAAAAGTCTCTTGTTAATTTATCATTTGCAACCTATCTGTGAATACAGAGGTGGATGACACATATCCAGCAAAAGCAGAGCCCTCAGGGAGTGCTACTTCGGAAGAAAGAGCCATAGTGAAAGCCTCTGAAGCTGCTTATCCTCATTAAAAGAGAAAACCCTAAGCAACACTGCTTATCTGTGTAAACCACAGACATGTGTGCCACTGTCAAAAAGTTGCGAGATACTGCAAAGTGTGTGTTTGTGTTTGTGTGAGTGTTTGTGTGTGCATGGGCAGTTTAACCTACCCATTTAAACTGAGCAGAACACAGATGGGTCCCGGAAAACGTCATAGATTATGTAAACTCAGTGTAATGGTGCTCTAATTGCAGCTACTGTTCCAGACACGATCTCTTTACTGGACTAAATCATCACAGCCCCTGACCTCTGCTACGCAGGTACTGATGCAGCAAGTATGTTCTTCTGCACCCAGTCACCAGACAACATCAGTTGCAGTGGCCTTTCAGAAGCACAGAGAGAAGTTCACTTTCCTTATCTTGCCTCAGAAGTACATGGACTTTATGGTATAATTTAGTCTGCAAGGACCTTGATTATCTCACCATCCCATTAACTGCACCAGTCTTGATGGCATCATGCTAATAAAACTCAAGAAACTAAAATAAAAAATCGTGTGCCAACGTCAATCAGAAACCAACTGGAGATAATACACTCTTGACACTGTAACTTGTTATTAGAAAAATGTTCAATTTACAAAAATTCATTTGCCATATTATCTCTAAGGAACTCATCTATTAAATAAAACAAGATATGCAAAATACATGCTTATATATTTCTCATTATTTTTGTCCTTCTATGTCCTAAGAATGCTTCAATATCAAACCATTTTTTGAAGAAACTTTAAGTTTCCCCCAAATCAGAAACTCTTCTTACCTATGTAACACGACCTATGAAATACTCTGGACTTAACAGTAGTTTGACACTTCCCAAATAAGTAAACCCTCAAGTAAAAGGGCTAAACCACTGCACAGTCATATTATGGATTATGCCACACTAACTTGCTTAAGCTGGGAACCATGTTTCCTAAAATCCCTTTCCCTTCTGATTTCATGTTAGAGTTGGCCAGAAGGGAAACTCGCTAAGGATTTGAAAGGCAGAAGTAAAGTAACAAACATTCTTTACTCTTGGAAGGCTATCACGGTTGAACATGGCATCAAACAGATGCAGAGATGTCCTTGCTCTATGCACCCGGCTCGCCTTTCCACTTGCTGGCCCTGCCAACCAATAGCAACCCCAGGCTCTCCATCAGACACTTGACTGTGGACCCACAGAGCTGGCAGCTCCATAGATACAAGAGCTTTCCACAGACCTCTCCTCAAGTTCCTTCTTTATCCTCCCATTTCAAAGGCTCGAAGTACTTGGCTCCTCAGATTCCTTTAAGTAAGTTCTGACTTTTCCACTTGAGCCAAAGCTTCAAGTGGATCGGTAAATGATTCTTTCCCTGATCTCCTTACTCCCTCTTCCACATCTTCATTCCCTAACTCTACCCACATCTGTATAAGATCGAATGCCTTTGGCAAACTTCTTATTCCCCAAAATATTCAAAGTGGCTCTGCTTTCATAAACAAAACCTGCATGATGCAATCTTTTTTTCATTTTTGCCTTTTAAACTCCTTGTGTGTCCTGTCATCTGATAGTGATTTACAGATTAATTTTTATCCAGCACATTGTTAAGTGCATTATCTCATTTAATCTCTCTAATAATTCTGAGAGGTAGATACTAATACGCTCATTTTAAGACAAATAAATACAAATTTAGATTCCTTGATCAACTGGTCAGCGCAAAACCAAAAGACACTAAGTTGAAAAACAGGACCCTGATTTCAGGTTCAATACTCTTCCTATTTCTATAGATGGACATTAGCCAACAGGGTGGTATAAGGACCTTTGAAATTCCCTGCACCATAAAAGCAACAAGAAAACTTGCACTAAGCGTTAGAATAAACTTTTTCAGAACTCTGGAAATTAATCAAAGGTCTGAAGTAATACAGGGAGTGTTTGTTCAAGAAAATGATTAAATCTTGGTTAAAAAAACAGCAAGCTTTGTGTCATTTTAACATATACCATTCCTATTCCC